GGGGGGGAAGCTGCTGCACAAGGGAAGGCTTAGCAAACAACGCAGTGGTAAGGCCAGTGATGCCAGTGGTTCCCCGACACATGGGCAGCTGGAGAAGGGAATAAGGTACCTCAGAAGGAGGACACCCCAAGGAGAGTACAGGGAGAGACAGGATTTGCTTTGGCTGGAAACTAATACCTGCCTGTTCCCACACAGACCTTTTGTTGTTTGGGGTTTTTTCAAGTTTTTTTGTTCAAGTTCATTAATTTATTAATGAATTTATTAGCACTTAATTACAACTTCTAAGCTCTCACCATTATTTCCAAAGGGAGGTTCAAATACTGTTGCCATGAAATTGCTCAAGTGGGAAGGTTTGGAACATTCCCAACCTGGTTTTCCTCCCCCACAAACACTTAACAGTAATTTTGTCCAAACAAACCTCTTCCTATGAATCGTTTCCATTACAATGGGCAGGCATTTTCCAGACAAAAGAATTCCACTGAAAAATTCCTTCTGCAAGCTGATGAGAACCCAGCAGGGTTTTCCCGCTGCTCTCCTTACCTGTGCCACAGCCAGTGAATGGATAATGCCACAAGAAGCACAGTGTAAAAACATGTATATATTCCAATACATATATTTGATCTAATCAAAAAGGGGTGCAGCTGGAGGACAGACCTTCAGCTACCAGAAGAGCTTCCAGATAGAGAACTCACATCCTTAAACCAGGGAATCGAGTGCATCCTGAAGCTGATTCCTTGGCCAAAGGAGAGGCCAACGCAACCCTGACGTGGAGAACAAGGAAGGGAAAGCAGGAGGTGGTTAGGAGAAATGTTTGTTCACAAAACAAACTGCTCCCTTCTAGTAACACAAAACCCTGCAGATGACTCTGCAAGTCTGACTGAAGGGGCCGGGGATGGTTTCCAGGTATTATGTCGCATTTACAATACGTGAGTCAACACACCAGGTGTCCTTGGAGGGGATGGAGCTGGTAACCCAATGCCAGGAATGCTAGGAACTGCTGGGAAAACCAAGGTGTGGGCTTAATCCCAAGACTGGAAAAGGGAGGTCTGTATCCTGTGTAACACCTCGGCTAGGTAGTCTCACTACTCCACTTCCCAGAGGAGCCCACTCAGCACGACCCAACCACCACCACAAGGAGGAACCCTCCTTTCAGACTTCCTCATAGATTTATGGGCTTTGGGGGCTGGTTTTTCCTTTCAATTGAATCATCCCAGCACAGCAGAATGGAGCAAAGCCCCCTCCAGTGCCTCTGGCTGAGGTGGTGTTGGAAATATGAAAGGTTCCAGGAGACTTTGCCCCTACTGCCGGTAGCTCATGAAACTTGCTACAAACCTGAAAGCCCCAGGGATGTGGTTCAATGGCACTGCCTTGCTAGCAGGTGGATTTCACAGGTTAGGGACAACCTTCTTACCTATTGCTGGTAAGAAACCACTGCCTTGGGCCCCAGAACCTGAGACTGAGGGTTTGCTGGTCTGGGGCACAGGGATGGGACAGGGCCACGGAGCTGCTGTGAGGGCTGGAGCAGCTCTGCTCTGGAGCCAGGCTGAGAGAGCTGGGCTGGGTCAGCTGGAGAAGAGAAGGCTCCTGAAGGAGAGACCTTGGAGCAGCTCCCAGGTCTTTCACTGGCACAGGTTGCCCAGAGAAGCTGTGGCCGCCCCATCCCTGGCAGTGTTCAAGGCCACGTTGGATACGGGCTTGGAGCAACCTGCTCTAGTGGAAGATGTCCCTGACCATAGCAGGGGGTTGGAATTGGTTGAGCTTTAAGGTCCCTTCCAAAACAAACCAATCTGGGATTCTATCGAGTGATTTCCCCCTCCAAAATCCCAGACCCACTGTCAAACCCAAGCAGCAGCTTAGGCAGAAGGGCAGGACCCACATCACCAGCACTACAAAGAGCAGCAGCAAACCCAGAGCTCTAAAACAAGCAGGTCACAGAGGAAACTGGAACCATTAAGCAGCCTGGAGGGTGCAGCAGCCTGGTAGAGCTGGTGTTCACACTCCAAACACCATGGAGCAGTGATGGTGTGGCCAGGAGAAAAGCCGTGCTGCTTTGCTCTTCCATAAGCAACCACTTTTCACGGAAAAACCAGACCTCACCACACACAATACGGTGGCAGAGCCCACTCCATGCATGCAGTTCCCCACGTTGTTTGTCTCCTGGCTTATTTTCTACATTCAAGTGGTTTTTAATTGACTTCCTCTAAGACTTGCTCCAGCACAGCTCACCAGAGGGGAACACAGAGTGTGATGCTCCCAGAGGATGCCCAGGCCTGGGCGCTGCCCTTAAGGAAGAACACAGGAAGGCTGAGATTGATTTTAATTGCTGATGAGATCCGGGTTTCATTCCTGGCTCTCTAAACTTTCCGTAACACTTTGGCCAAGTCATTACAATTCAGAACCACTTGGCAGCAAGCTGCCAACCCCCCATGTTACTTGGGAATTAGGCTTAAATACCTCTGTGGAACTGGGACCTGATTGCGGCTGTCAGTTATCCAGCCTGCATTACAACACTTTTCCTCTCTCCCCCATAATTCCCACCTTATCTGCTGCATGACCCTCAAGGCAGAGGCAGCTTTTTTAGGCACTTCATAAAATGGGACGTAGGCTTTTGCAGAGCTCTCCTCTTTCCAGGTTTCCTAATACGGGGGTCTTTTTTCCATGTGAAAGTCCTAAGAATTGGATGTTGCTGCTCTCTGCTGCTTCCACAGCTGCTGTGTTTCACCCAGGAAACAGCTGTACTTGTGTTAATTTTAGGTTGCTGGGTCTCTTTTCTGAAAGCGTGTGTTCATGCAACCTGCAAGCAGAGGTTGTACAGCAAAGCATCTGCAGCTCCCTGCCATGCGATGTAGAACATCACCACAACTCCCCCCAGCACTGCCAGGGAACACAAGAGCAATACAAGTCCAGGGTTACATGTCATTAAGGCAGATGGTTCCTGTCCACCACCAGTTCTGAGAGGACAGGACCAGTCCCAGGCCCTGCATCTTCATACTTGTGCCAGAGATTCCACCCCTGTGGCTCCATCCCTCTATGAGTACAGACTGGATAGCACAAGCCCTCCCGAAGCTGGACCCAAACCCTGCTGAAGTGTTCCCAAGAGCTGGCCCAGGTCTCTGCTGCAGCAGTGCTGCTATACAGAGGCTCTGACAGAGTTTGGGGCTTTTAAATGCCAGTGCTTCTCTTTGGTCTGCAGACGGAGAAGCCACTCTTTAAATGTCTACGATTGCCAAAAATAACAACAAAGCAGAAATACCTAAAATTCACTTCTCTGTTGGTTTACATCAATCTCTTTTTGTGCTGAGGAGCAAGCAGGGTGAGCTCTGGGAACATCACTGTGAGAGAAGGCCCCATGGAAAGACGTCTCTGCTCTAACACGCACATCTGATTTCACAGAACTACTGCAAGTAACAGAAAACCAACATTCCCCTGCTCATCCTCTGGAAAAAGCAACCCAAAAGTAGCTAGCACTGAGTTGGAGCTGAAATGCACCTGCAGCTCCGATGCGCTCCTCTGCAGCCCTGTGGGTAATCAGGAGCTTCCCATTCCAGCAAGAGCAGAAAGCTGTGCTTCCCATCATAAATCCCTCTGCAAACTCCTCGTCTCCACCTAGAATTGCACAACCCAGCTACAAATCACTTGCACCCAAACAAGCAACAAATATCTTGGCGGTGCTTACGCTCAGTGGCGAGTCCTTTGAATGGCTTTGATGTTTATTGCAATTCCAGCTGCGCTGGCTGCATCCCGGTTATTATTGTTAGCTGTTTATACAGCCAGGGCCCTCCGTGGACGGGAGCAGGGGCCGTGCTGGCAGCAGCACTGCGAGGAAATGGTTTCCAGCCCTGTTTGCACGAGAGTCCCCAGGGGATGTCTGCAGGGAGCCACGACACGTGGCGCGGTTTTGTTGGTACCCATCCTGCTGCCCAGCCCCACGACATGGCTCGGGTCTCTTCCTGCTTTGCACACGTCTGTACCCCTCCCATGTTATTCCACCAGGATGCTAAGCACCTTCCCCAAAAGAAAACACTTAATAGAACAGGGCTTTTGATTATTTGAGTTGGCAAGGAAGGCATAACAAGCAGCAGTGGCCAGAAGTCAGAGCCAGACCTGCTCCCCTTTGAAAAAACAGTGGTTGTGATTAGAGAAGCCAGGGCCATTTATTCCCAAGTAAAGTGCTAAAGGGGATCTCTATGATTCCATCCCTTGGCATCTTCACAGCAAAGCTCAGATGTGCAGACAATGGTGAGCACTTACTTGGCCAGGTGAACTTCAGGGACTGACCACTGGTAAAAACCTGCTTTTTAATGTTATTTACAATAACCCCCAGGTTTAGTTTTGTGTGACCTGCAGTGAAGGGCTGAGCTGTGGAAGAAGAAAGCATTGAGTATGATCCTCTTCCTTTTGCCCTAGCGCCAGGGATGCTGGAGCTAGCCCAGAGGATGCCCCACCAGGGATGGCCATACAGGCCAATGTCATGTCCCTTACCCTCAGCTTCTTCCCATCCCTAGGGGCTCTGTTCAAGCTCTCAGATTTCTCCTCAACTGCACCAAAAATAGTGGAATAAGCAGCCAGCCCAGCACCTTTATTCCCTTTTCGTTTGACAAAGACTAAGTGTAGACAATAGCTCTTTCTTCAGCAATTTTGGATGCTTTCATATGCCATGTACACTAAAAAAAGCACCTGTGATAATTTCAAGAAGAAAATGTGTTACAAGCAGCTACTTCTCCTCATGGGAAAACAAGACAATGGCTTCTGCAAGGGCATTTAGGAGAAAGAGGAGCTGCTGGAGTTTGGCACTTGCTAGAGGATATTGGCTCCCATGATGATCTCAGCATGTTACGTTTTGTGCTGAATGCATAGAGTATCTTATGGCATTTGGAAACCAAAGTCCAGAAATTGTTTTAAAGCTATTTAAGAAGAGGAAGCCCAGTGACAAAGAGAAACCTTGGCAAACTCTCAGTATCAATGGAAATGCCCCAAGTTGTCACACGCTCTCCAAGGAGGCAGCTGGGCACTGGGGAGGCAGCAGTGCCCCACAGCCTCCCAGGCAACAGGAACGCATCCCCCTCCCTCAAAAGAAGCTTCTCTACCTCTTTAAGGGAGGCAACGGTGTGCCCAAAAGATCTTTCTCTCCATTATATTAATTGATTTAGTAAGTGAGGTTACATCTACCCATAGACCTGTCTATGTTACTAGGGTGATGCTCATTTAACCTGCCTTTCAAACCCTGCCGAGAAGGATATCCTACAATTCTCCTACACAATCACTCCCAGCAACTCACTGTCCTTACTTTAAGGCAGTTTCCTATAGCCCAGCCTCCCTTTTCCTTGCTGCAGTTAAAAGCCTTTGTTTTCTGGGCCTGTTCCAAATTGATTTATAAAACAAACCAGTCACTTCCTTTCTCTAAGATTTGATCATGTCTTGTCTCTTATCAACTAAACTAGACAGTTTTGCCAGGCCAGTAAGCTAGAAGAGAAAAGCATGGGAAAGATCTGAAAAGTCAGGTCTGGTTTTCACAGCCAAATCCTATCTGGAAAAGGACCACGTTTTATTATGTATTCACTGTGGTTTACACACTGTTTTGGTTCCTGTTTGGCTGGGATCATTGTCATAAAGCCTCAGACAAAAAAACAATTAGAGCTCCAATGCGGTTACATGAGAAGAATGAGATCAATCAGGAGCTCACTACACCCAGACAGTCCCAAGGGGTGGGCTCTGAGCCAAGCCCTGATAACCCACATATGCTGGATACTAAAGATCTCATCCCAGGTACACACCACTGCCAGGGCAGTCAAATGAGCTCGTTCAAACACCTACAGCACAGGAACCTACCACAAAGTTCAGCACCCACGTTGGCTCCTCATAAGAAATGAGATGTTGCAAGTGGTGAGGCACAGGATGCCCAGAGAGGTTGTGGATGCCCCATCCCTGGCTTATGTGAAGCAAGCAACCCCACTAATTTACATGGCCTTGCATTTACCCTGTAGCAGAAGACATCTCCCTGCAGGGTCCTGCTCCATCTGGGGAGGGGGCATTTATCCTGACTGAATAAACTCCAGTCCTACTTTCCTCAGAACCTCACAGTTTTGCTCTCAGCGTTTGCTACTACTTCTTTGCTAATGCTTTGGGGGAAATCACGTATTTCAAAGTCAATACTACAGAAGACAAGGAAAGCCCAAATCACACAACCAGCAAGAACACCAATGCATTAGTGACAGTCACAGATTAGCTCTGCTAATACTCTTATTCTTTCATTGCAGGTACTACAGCCTCCACAGACTCCTCTGTCCACGCTGTAACAGGTACCTCCTGGGTTGTGATCTGCTTAGATGTCTATTTGGATGTGGATGCATATGCGGGGATGCAAATACAGAGTCCATAAATGGGAACTCTATTCAGAAATCCCACCCACTGAAGGACCTTCTCCTGGGACCTTGCATTGCCCACCTCTGCCTGCCTCACTTGTCATCATTCACCCCCAGATTTCCAGGGACCACAGTGGCCACTGTGCCCAGCGGATGACCTTGCCTGGCTCCCCTTTTTGTCTGGGAGAGCAATGCTGTGCTCCAGGAAGCCCAGTGAAAGCAGGGGGGTCCTGCCTCATCTCTGCTCCCTGATTCCCCCAGCTGTTTCCTAGCAGTTAGCACATTCTCCTCCATGGATCCTCAGAGCCAAGGTCCCTTTATCCACATGTCCCTACAGCCACATCAGTGACAAGCCGTCTCCTTCACATCTCTTGTTCCCATCACCCTTTCAACTCTCACTGTCTACAATGGCCCCTTTCTGGGCCATCCTTCAGCCCTCCCCATGGAGATCCCATCAACAAGGAGCACGCGTAGAAGTCACCTCCATGTCTCTCTGTTTGTGTTACAGGTCGATCCCCATCAACAACGCACAGCCCTGAAGTAAAGAACCACACATCAGGTAACACTCACCTGGAGACCTCAGAATGTGGCTCAGGGGCATCCTGCCTTGTAACTGGTTCAGCTGGCCAGCTGGGCCATCCAGCAATAAATGGGGTTGCAGCAGCAGGTTAGATGAGACCAGTGGCAGGGAAGGAGGAAATTTTGTGGCATAAGGGTTTATGATCAAGCCAGTTCAGCCAAGAGGGATCAAGGCACAGGTATGAGCAAGAACAGGGGAAAAAATTCACTGAATTGAATAGGGAGAAGCAGAGTCAGTAGGTGAATACTGCCCTAGCTCTAATTCATAGAATCATCATAGAATCCCAGCCTGGTTTGGGTTGGAAGGAAACTTAAAGCTCATCCAGTCCCAACCCCCTGCCATGGGCAGGGACACCTTCCACTAGAGCAGGTTGCTCCAAGCCCCTGTGTCCAACCTGGCCTTGAACACTGCCAGGGATGGGGCAGCCACAGCTTCTCTGGGCACCCTGTGCCAGCACCTCAGCACCCTCACAGGGCAAACAAAACAAAACAAAAACAAACAAGCAAAATCCCCACCCCACCAAAAAAAAACCAACCCTTAAAACCATTTTTACTCTTCTCGTTTTTATTGGAAAGCCAAGAGAAGTCTAGACAAGGAATTTCCCTATAAATTCCAAGCTGATGATCCACTCTTCCTTGCAAAGGGCCTACTGAAAACTTTTTTTCCCCCTCATATCTTGCTCTGGATCATGTTCTTGCTTGGAGCTTTGAGTAGCAGGCTGAGGAAGATGACAGAGCTTCTGGAGCACTGCAAGAGCTGAGTTATCTGTGCTAAAGAGACTCTTCATGAAATGAAACAGAGGAGTTAGCATTTCAGATAACAAGCAAGCAAATACATCAGTGCCAGGCAGCCAGATAAAGTGTCCAGTGATAAAAATACTTTCATCTTCAAAGCAGGAAAAAAGCAGTGGCAAAATGGAAACCTTCTCCAGGTCTCCTGAGCTATCAGCTCAGCATCTCCGTACACTAAAAAAGCAAAAGCTAATGCCAAAGTACAAGAGCCCCCCTTAGTCTGAGCAGGACGAAGACTATTTCCTTGTCTATGCACACCCATGCTTTCCCTAGCAGATTATCCATAGCTCCCAAGGAGCTTGAGGACTCTTTGCAATAGCCATGTCCCCCTCCAATCTGTTTCTGAGCAGAGCTCGTGGTGAGCAGAACCCTTTAAAATAACACTATGCTTCCTCTACAGAGCCTTCAGTAAAATCAACACCACCAACTGACTTGAACCTCACCTCCGTGGGTCCAACTACTACAGCCAAGTCCTCTTCTGTTGCTACAACACTGCTAACACCAACTGTACAAGGTAAGCATGGAAAGCTCTCCATTTTGCTCAGGTAGGACCTGTTTGTGCATCCCTGTTTATCCAAGCAAAACTGAAGGCATCAGAAAGACTGGGCTAGTCCATGCCAGGCTACTTATTCAGTAGCAGCAATTTTGAATCTCTTGAGTCTTTGCTAATAGAGCAGCTCACTCCAGCTCCCCAAAACCATGGGGCTGGACAAGAGGGTGACTTAGATGTGGCAGCTGCTCAGCAAACCCGTATCAGAAGAGCCAGATCATGCTTTACCTGGTAATGGTTTGTGGAGGAGCTACAGGCACCCCAGCTCACCTCCCATGTACACTCTCCAAACTGACTGCACAGCTTGCTAGCTGGACATACTGACACTTGTTTGGAAGGGAAGCTTCATGCAAACCAAGCTTTTTTTACCCCACGGAAACCCTACAGCTTTCCACAGCACAGTCAGTAGCAGCTTCAAGAGTTAATTCTCCTTTCCCATGTTTTCTTTACCCAGATGAAAAGTCTTCTGGAAGCAGAAGCACAGCAGCTTCACCATCTCAAGGTACTTTGTCCTTTTATAAAGTAACAATAAGTTTAGATCATTTCATGGCAATTAGCTTACCCGGTTCACGTGGTGCAGGTTATCTAAGCACTAGTCTAGCTCGGGGTTGAGCCATCAGTAACACCCAAAATCATGTCTGGTATCCCTACAAGCAGTGAAAAAACCGAGGACCAAGTGCACTTAACATCCTTCGGGTGAAAGAAGAACTTGAACCATTGAAAGACTGATCTATGTTTAGGAAATGGGAGGCCCTTTAACATTCTTTAAAAAAAGAATAGTTCTGGTTTTGACATTTTGTTTAACCCAACCTGCAAGCAAAAAAATAGAGCATTCAGTGAGCGCTTTCTCAGAATAAGGGCAGAATCCAAGGGAGGGGGAAAACTGGAATCTGCCAACTGAGCTGATTCCCCATTAAAGATTCAGCATCAAAACCTGCAGTGGTCAAGACAAAGTGCTCTGCCTTCCCAAGCACTCTCAGATCTTCTCCACCACAAGCAAGGTTAAAAACCCATGGTCAGCTCTGCCTGCACAGATGTTCAACCAGCATGCCTGTGCCCAGCCAAGCCAAGAGCCCCTTGCATCAGAGCAGACTGCTATTAATTATAACCCTGCTTTGTACTGGAGAAGCTCCATACATCTTTGACTATAGAGATGTTGCTGATGCTTCCAAAAGTGAGATCTCCTGTTGTGTGAGACCCACCATTTCCCAGGGATGGGGTATCCGTGCCAGGCTCAGCAAACCACAGCTTCTGCCCATCACCTGTGGCTAGAAGAACAATTCCAGAATGAAACACAGGGTTTAATGAGTGGTGAGAAAATTGTACAGCAGCAGCTCCTGCTTCTCAGGACTGTTCTGCTCCACGTGGTTCCTAAGCCAGTTAGATGCGTTATTCTATACCCTTTCCCCTTTACATAGCACTTCCCCTTTTCCTTCTGACTTTTGGCAAAGTTGCATTCCAAAACAGTGAGGTTTTGTGCAAGCCAGGAACCCAGTTCAGCTGCACACCCTGCGCCCAGTGCAGTGCCAGGAGCTGCTTCACACTTCTCCAGGCAGCGCATACTTTTGGCCAACGCTCCTATTGCAAAATGGGGAAAGGAAAGGAGGAAAGAAGATCCTACTTGACCTACAGATGATCTTCTGAAACATTCAAGTATCATTTTTAGTCTCCTGACAGGGCCTGTAGCTGTTGAATAAGGTCCATGCAGATAATCTGGCAGCTCCACACACATCCAGGAGGCAACAAGGACTTTTTTCTCTCTGTAGAAGCGAGACGCACACGTTGGCTTTTAATTTGCTTTCAGAGGCATTGGAAGCAGCTGGCACAAACCAAACAGCTTCATATAAGCCAGTTTATCCCACCGAGAACTGGAGTCCTTGCTCAAACCAAACTCTACGCTGCCACAGATGGTGCACCAACTCAAACTAGCTTCATTACTTCTAGATAGCACAGGACAGCATATCCACTAATTCCAAGTCCAAGGGCAAGCTGAACAGTCAACTCACACCCATCTTCTGCAGAATTTCTTCCCTAAAGTCTCCATGTTCATGAGCAATAGCAAATCAGTAACCTTCCCAGTTCACTCTCCCAGTACTCTATTGCTCTCTCTGCCCCAAAACTGCATGAGGAGCCATAGAACCTGAGAGGTTTATACAAGGGTATTTGAATTTTGGCTCCCGGAGTTTCTGTTTGACATGGAAAACAGTACAAAGTATGTTTGGTGGGAAGGTTGTAGCCTGAGTATGAACTCCATGTATTCCCAGATATTGCCAGCATTACCACGAATCTGTTTTCCTCTCCAGCATGACCATTAATTCTTTTGGGTTTTAAGTGATGCTCAAGGACAAGGCTCACATTCTGCCTTTCTCTATGCAGGTCAAGAGCCCACAAGAAGCAAGAGTACCACAACATTAGTAACTCAAGGTGCTTCCTCCACTCTCTCAGAAAGAGGTGATTACTACTAGATATTTTATAGCCCTTTACGTAGCCAACAGCAAGCCCATCATACTATCTTCAGGGCAGCATGGTGAACAGCCAGCGAGTACCTGAGGGATGCTCTCCATCCCATTCGGCCCTTGAAAAACCTGCAAAGCTCCACAGAAGCAGCATTTTAGGGCAACCTGTTGAGCCTGGAACAGTGGTTGTGATTCACATCAGGAAAGGTGCCTTATGGCAAAAGGTTTTAATAGGAGAGCGGTGGGACAAACTCTCCACACAAACACATGCTCAGGTTCCTGAAGGGGGTTGGAAGTAGATGACCTTTGAAGGTCCCTTCCAACCAACAGTATTCCATGATTCCTTACTGGGAACCCTGCAGAAAACCCTGTGGAGGTTCTCAGTTTGCCAACAAAAGGGGCCACACCAAGGCAATCTGATTTCCACTCAGGTCTTGGTCACTTCGCTGTTAACATGGATGGGGCTGGCCAGGATCCATCATTATTCTTTTCAAGCATGAGTTAGGTCCTCTAGCAGTGCTAGGAATCCTCTTCCCAATCACAGACTTCTACATAAAGCTACCTTTCTCCCCTTTCTTGCAGGGACCTCAAATCCAGTCACCCCAACACCTTCTGGCTACCTGCCTGTGCCCACTCCAACAGATGATAAATCACCTTTGACAGTGGCAGCTTTTGGTAAGGTCTTGTGCAAGCTGGGGAGCAGAGAGGGGTCTCTTTCACCAGGCCACGCTGTTTTGGACACCCAGCTTCAAAGATGCTTCCCTGGAGATGACTCCACAGTTATGCCTGATCCTGGAGCTTTCAGGGTGCAAGGGAGAACCCCTAAGAAAGACTTTTACCAGCATGCAGTAAAGCACCTACTCCCAGCCAGACTCAGTATACAAGGGGCAGACAACTTCAAAGTCCATCACAGCTACACCTGAGCTTGAGATCTTGCTCCCAGTGCCAGTGTTTGCCCTAGCTCCCTGTTAGGACAAGACCTGGGCACAAACCACCCCATGCTATGCCCTAGGTTCCCTGACAGGGTCTAGAATAAATACTAATTGTCTAGAAGCTTAGATATTATTTTCACCCTGCATTCCCTCCCTGCCTTCCTGCTTTCCCCTGTGTATCTGCACCCTGCTTGGCAGGAGGCAGCCGAGTCCTCTGCATCCTTCAGACTGTGGAAGGATGGAACAAGAGATGTCATACCTTAACCTGGCAACAGATTTGAAGATAGACACAGGGTAGATTTAAGAGACCCATTCTGCCTTGGGCTCTACTGTCCCCCTCTTCCATAAAGATGAGCAAAAAAGCCAATTAACTCATTTATATCATACTACAGGAAAAAAGTGTTATTTCAGAAGCATTTTAACAGTCAAGTGTCGACTTCAGAAGTATCATTTGCTTATATCTTCCAAGGGAAGCCACAAGAAGTCTTGAAGCAGTCTTAACAGCAAAAGACTCACATGCAAAGATAAGTTTGATTTATTGAGGCCTGACATCAGAATCAGATCTGGACTTCTCCATTAGTTTATGAGACAAATAACATCGTTCACAGTCTTTAGCTTGTCTCTCCCTGTTACATTACATATTTATCTGACTTTATACACCTTTAGGGTAAGATTTACCAACTGCAGTAGGGATATATTGACTCCAGTCAATCCCCAGTGTAATCAGCTGACTTCTGCCCCCCTGGCACTGCCTTACCAATTCAGTAATCAGAAGTCCTTTGAGGCTATAACACAAGAGGATAAAGCCGTTTGCTGTAGTGACTATTTACTTCTCTATTAACTACCATTGCTCATTTTAAAAACAACATTGATTCCCGACCCAAGCTTTTATGACAGTCAAAGTCTTTCTGCTACTCAGAAACCAAGGACAGGCACGTTGTGATATCAGTCACAGACAGTTCTTTCTCCATCCCCAGGTGTCATCAGCTTCATCATTATCCTGATAGTGGTTGTGATCATTCTGGTCAGCGTGGTCAGCCTGAGGTTCAAGTGTAATCGCTCAAAGGACTCAGAAGGTATTTCCCTGGGGTGATTTGGCTTTCCCTAATAAAAAAAGTCATCAGTTTCCATGTGGATTTGGCAATTCCTAAAAGATGCTTTCAAAAAGCTTACACGGTGAGGAGGTTTTGAAGCCGAACTGGAACACAGATTCAGCAGTTAGGAATGTGGTGTGACCACCTCTTTAGAGCCCCAGCCCAAACCCATCTGCACAAGGGAACAGTCTGAAGTTTGCTGCAGTTAAACGTGCAGATTTCCAGAGGCGGGCAGCTCTTCCAGCCGAAGTCATATAGAGTTTGACGCTCGCTTCCCCTAGAATTCCCATTTCCCACTAAGCAGTGCCCACTAGAGGGCAAGGCTGCTCCATAGCAAGGCCGGTAACTGCGAAAGACCGAAGGATACTCCACAGGCTGAAAAGCTTTCAGTCCTGCCTGTAGGACACGTTAGCTGAAGAATTCTCTCTAACCAACTCTCAAGTATCCCCCATAGTGCCTCTAATCTCATCTGGATTTCATTTATAACCCTGTACAATGCGATTCTGAGAATAACTGACTTATTTTATTGCTTAGCTGTCATGTTTTCTCACCTGTACATCACCAACTGCTTTTCTCCCTCCAGACAAACAGAAACCGGGAACCTCTATGGTATCAGAGAGGTAAGGCTGCTCACACTATTCACATCCTAGTGAAAGCACCTGTTTTATTCTAGAACTAATTTTAGCACAGAAAAGTGTCTGCTTTGGTTATTTCAGGTGGAAAGAAACATTTCAAGACATCTTTGAGACAGGTAAAAAAAAAAAAAAAAAGATCAGCTTTGATAGCACCTCATCCTCCAAGGTAGAAGTTGAAGATTTAAGGGCCTCAATTCAAAGCTGCACCATTATCTGTGAAGACTCATCACCTTCCAAAAGCAGTTTGCTTGTCTGTCTTTGCCTAGATACAGACTTATGGTCTAAAGTTGGGTTTCTGGATCTCAAAGCAGTCTCAGTGAGATGAAATCAGGTTCCCAAAAATATCTTCCAAGACGTCTATTAGTGTTATCTGGCAAGTGCAGGATAAGGGGCCCCCAATCCAGAGACCTTTGGAAAAGAAGCATCAAGTGGAGGACGGTCCATCTGAACCCCATGGTCCATCCCTCCTACCAAAGAAGATGCTGCACATGGGAAAGGAGCAGGAAACAAGAGCTGGAAGGGATTAAAACATGTTGCACCTACTTTTCCATTTGAGTTTCCTACCACAGTAATAAACCCTGCTTTGGGAAGAGGCAAGGGACACAGGGAGCAAAGTTCTGAAGTATCTGGGTGCCAAATTTGCATCAACAGTTCCCAAGTACCCTTAATGATTGTGCTCTAAGTGATCTGAAGCCAGAGGTAGGATATATCAGAAGACTACACCCCAAAGGGCACCCTAATCCCCAAAGTCATCCAGTCTTCACTGCACTAAATGCATATCCCAGCCCTCAGGTTAGGGAAAAAGAATTCCTAGCACTTGTAAAGAGAGATGCTGCAATCCATGAACAGCAGATGTAAAAATACCCAGGGCTCTCTCTGAATGACAAATAAACTCAAGGGTGTAGGACAGAGGGATACAGTGATGTTTCCTTTCGTTCCACTTCCAAGCAGTGACACAGGTGACAATGGTGCTTTCTGCAGGGCAACCCAGCACCACATCCAGATTTGCCTCAATGCACTGCTTGTTAGCCCAGAGATCTTCAAAAACCTGTGTTCAGATGGGGATAGGGAATCTGGCACTAAGGATGGGCCTGACTCAGGAGATCAGCTTAAAAGGAAGGGCAAGTCAGCCCTGGTCCCATACTCCAAGCCTGCTTGCCTCCAGCTGGGCACAAAGAAGCTTCCCCCCTCATTTTCCAGAATGGTTAATGCTGCCTTCTCTTCTTGACAGCTGCTCAGCAGGCACAAGCCAGAAGGATAACAGCATCACCCTGATCTCCATGAAGAACATCAACATGAACAACAGCATGAGTTATCCACCATCAGAAAAGGTTTGCCTTTCAAGCCTTGCTTTCTAGAGAGTTAGCTGGGGATTATTTCTCTTGCTAGATAAGAACATGCCCTCGAGGTATTTCTTTGTTCTCTTATTCCTTCAGAAAGATAATAAAAAACAGCTACCATCAAACTCCTAAAGGCCCAAACTGGTTCCAGTGAGCTGGTGAAAAGTTTGGGTGCCCATTCCAGGTTTATTCAAGCTGCCTGAACTCAAGGCATCGAGTATACCTCATGGATATAGGTGCCATCCCCTAGGGCCAGCCATCAAAGGCAGAGGGATCTGCTATTAAATGAAGAGGTAACTAAGCTAGCCTTTGAGAAATCAAGGTCTCACCCTCTTCTAAGTCCAAGCTGACCCACTCCTCCCCCACAGGAGCTGCTGAAGCACAGTCCCATCAGTACCCTCAGACTCATTCCACACAAGTCATTCACGTCATTTTCAGTCATTTTAAAGCTGGGATTGAGTTTGAGAGAACAAACTGCTTAACTTCTTTTGCCAGCCCAAACAGGCTGCTCATGCACTGTGTGTTGTTCTTTTTGCAGGTGCTATGAAGCCAAGAGCCCAGAGCTTGAATCTGACACAACCAGTGGTGACTTTCTAGGTTCTTTTATTATGGGGTTTGGTTTTTTTTTTTCCTTTGGGAAAGAGCAAGAGTGGACTTATATATAAATTATTATGTCCTTTCTGATCAGTACATGTACAGTAGCATCCCACATAGCTTCCCCACCTAAGGGAAGACCTAAGGGCTTTCTCTGGTTACAGCCTGCCATGCTCAGTGGTTGATACCTATTTTTTTATATGCCTTCAAACACGCAGATTATTCCAGCAGCAAGGACCACCAAGGCACCATCTACTTTACTAATAAACCTCTGCCTTAGATTAATGGCCTTTGCAAGCCAGTCACAGGCTCCTTCATCAGTCCAGCCCCACGCTGAGTCAAACCCCTGCACTAGACTAGCATGATCTGAAGCTGGAGGCCTAATGAGACTTTAATGACCAAGTGCTGGGTCAAATCCCAGCTCGACTGCTGCAAGCCCCTTATCCTCAGTGTCCTCATTGTCCTCACAGTGGTGGGGATGACCATATCCACCTAACTCACAGGGCTGTTGTGAGACTATGTTAATCGACGTCTGTAAAGCATTTGGAGAGCCACGAATTAAAGGTGCTGCTGAAATGCAAATTGCCATCTGAAATCCTTTATTATTAATAGCCGAGCTGCAGGCAGGCAGATTGCTGTCTTCCCACAGGTTCAACATGCTCAAAGACAACTTAACAGTAAAGAACAACGTCTCTGCATAGACAAGGTTTTAGCTGAGTGTACAAAGGAGTGGCTGCAAGCAAAATGCTGAGCTATCTCAGCTCCTGAACTCTGGTAGCCCAGGATTTTTGGGAGAGCTTCCATCTTCTGTACCACTGCCCTCCCAGAGCTTCCTGCTAGAGCAGAAAAGCAGCACCCTCTTCCACAGCACCCACCTTACCACAGCACCAAGAGCCACTAGTGCAACCCCAAATCACTGTGCTCACAAGAGCAGTCCCCTGTCAGGCTGCACGGTGCAAGAGCCTGCATTTGGAGCCAGCCAATTCACAACCCGAGCTGGCTCAGACCCAGCTGCCAGCCACTTACCACCTACAGCAAAATACTCGTAAGCTGAGCAAGGGAGAATGATGGAAACATCAATGCCCAACCTCCACATGGCCGCAAGAGAAACATGCTGTCGGGTATTTCTAGAGGTCTCAGCTGCCTTATTCAGCAGCGTAACACACTAAAGCACTAATTCTGCAACTACTTTTACTTCTGCCCATCTTCACCATGAGTCCTGCTTGCAAGTACCTTGTCTATCTGGCAGCAGCACACTGAGATAGTGTCTTCTCATAAAATCCCAGACTGGTTTGTGTTGGAGGGGACCTTAAAGCTCATCCAGATACAACTCCCTGCCATGGGCAGGGACACCTTCCACTAGAGCAGGTTGCTCCAAGCCTCTGTATCCAACCTGGCCTTGAACACTGCCAGGGATGGGGCAGCCACAGCTTCTCTGGGCACCCTGTGCCAGCGCCTCAGCACCCTCACAGGGAAGAGCTTCTGCCTCAGAGCTCATCTCAATCTCCCCTCTGGCAGGTTAAAGCCATTCCCCTTGGCCTGTCCCTACAGGCCCTTGTCCAAAGCCCCTCTCCAGGTTTCTTGAAATCTCCAGACTTCTCCTAACATGAGCAGCAACATCCATCAACCCTGAAGGTAAACTGTGAAGTCAGGGAAAAAAAAGACCTAGTCAAGCACTCATAATAGACATCACTGCACACACTCCCCTGCACAGCTTGATGAAACACCATAATTTAGCCTGATTTCATTTTATAGGATGGGTAAGAGATGTTCACTGGGACGTGCACTGCCAGAGGTAGCTGTGCTTAGCAGCTGGCAATGAAGCGTTCAGCAAAATAAATGCAATATCCACACAACTCCTACCAGGCTCCAACACACTTTCTATCTTTAACACATGCACCAGATAATTTGATGAGCTATTTTTAAATAAATGAAGCTTTTCTGGTAAAATTCCTCCACAGTAAGATGGCATCACTGACCCAGCCTCTACCAGACAGGTGAATGTGCTTGAGCCCCAGATCCTGGGAGATTCCAGGTGGATCCAGATAGCTCCAAACCAGAGACCTGTGACACAGTGCATGGAGCATCATAAGTAGGTTTTTAGTCCAGGAAGACACCACAAAGGTGAGTACCTGTAACACCAGACACGTCAGCAAGCATCCAGCTTTAACTAACACTGTCCTGCAGACAAGGGGATGAATGTCCCCAGACCTCTGAAGATTGCCCTGTGGGACCTCACCGCTGCTTTAGTTTTCTTTTCTTTGACCTGCTTCTTCCCACAAATAACCTGAACGTGCTCCATTCTAAAACCAATCCACATCCAAACCAAAGCTCCAACTTTGACCTAGTTCAGAAGAAAGGCTGAATAAAAAAATAAAACAACAGAGGTGACATGACCCCGACTTCCAGCTGCTGCTGCTCATCTAAGAGGCATTCTCTGGACCACAAAACACACTGGTGGAGGACACAAGCTCCCTTACACCACAACTCTACTTCCAAGGAGCACTACCCCAACTCATTAGCCCGGATTTAATAGCCACATGGATGAGGGAACAATCAGCAGCGCACAGATGCAGCTGGAAGGAGCCGCAGGACAAGCCCACCAAAACCTTGGCCAGGAAGCCCTGGGGCGCTCCTGCGGGCTCCTTCCAGCCTTAACACGACAGCTTACGGCCATCGACCGCAGCCCTGCCAGTGCAGGAGGGCGGCTTTAGCACTGATGTAGCGACAAACACGGAGTCCACCCCAGGGCTCGCTGCGCACCGTGTCCCAGCGCC